CCCCAAAACCCCAAAACCCCAAAACCCCTTTTTTAATCTAAAATACTCTAAATAACTTAAATTTTAAAAATTCAAAATGCGGAAAAACCTTTATACCACAAGTAAGCAATACCTTTACAAGTATTTAGACCGAACAACTAAGCCTAAAGGCAGGAATGGGGTTAATAAGCTACAGAGTTCCGTCTCAAATAGTAAATTTAGCAAGATTAAGTCTAAAATTTCAACTAAATGGAAAAACCCAGAGAAAACTAAGATAAAGTTTCAGTATATGACTGATACTAAGAGTTACAAAAGTAGGCAGACGGTTATAAAACTTCTAGACCAATATTCAACACTGAGCGAGAATGTTGATCCTAATAAGCCTGCCCAAACTGGCTGAATTGATTTCTTTAGTGAGTATATGGACACTTCAAACTTCTATTCAAATGCTCCTGAAGAAATTAAAAAGGAACCAGAGATTCAGAACACAGTAGAATATCATAAAGAGCCTAGTAAAGAGGATTACCAAGAGCCATCTCCTGAGCTAATGAAGAAAGCACAAAAATTCCATGATAAACTTATGAAGGATTTTCAAAAGAAAATACTGAAGAAAATGCATAAATATAAAGAAATAAAGGTAATTTTACCAAATAATAGGTAGAAATAAACTGAGAGATGAAAAAGAAATCAGAATATGTAAAAGAATTAGGTTATTTAATCCTAGATATACCTTCTCATTATCAAAAAGAAAGTTAATAATAATTCTAAAATACTGGAGGAAATATGCACTAAAATAGAAAGGCTTATACTCAAAACAAAACAAAGAATAATTTAAGTAACTCTCAATCATCAATACCTGACACAGAGATAACTTTCGCTAAACCCTCCAATCCAGATCCCCAACCCATTTCCAAACCTTCTAAGCGATCAAAAAGACGTTCTCGACGTCCTAAAAGGCCTATTTCACGACAACTCCGTTCACCTGCTCCTAAATTCTGTTCCAAAACCACCTCTAAAACTCCGAGCCAAGCTGAAATAGAGACCTTCATCAAAATAGAAGATATGTCTTCCCAAAGGCCAGCTCAAATCGTGACTAAAAAACCTAGTGCAAATGAAGTCCTAGCCAAGATCTTCAGGTCACAAAATCTGAAGCAGAAAGCGTTCAGCACTTTTAGATCTCTACTCTAGTTCAGCTAGGATTTAGATGAAGGGGTTTTGGGGTTTTGGGGTTTTGGGGTTTTGGGGTTTTGGGG